TTCCTGGGGACCACCCTGTTATAGTTAGCGTGAGAATTAAACAAACTGATACATGTCATGCTAGGAAAACTTGAACTCTAATCAACGTTAGTGGTTATCAGTTACTGTTAATCATGCTTTAACCTGAGCCCTTAATCCCCTCATTCAGACTTTTGCCTGTCTAAATCCACCCCACCCCTGCCCTGCTAGTAATTTAACATATTTAGCAAATGGTCCTTAACCCTAACATTCCCATTTAACTTTGTCCACACATTTGGATTCTAGTCTCATTCTTCCTCCACTGTCCTCAAACAGACTCTATGGGCTTGGAGTTATTTACTCAGTCTGGTGGTAATTTGCCAGGACCTGGAGCATGCTGGGTGCCTCCACCTAGAACCAGCACCCCCAGATCCCCAATCTCTGTTTGTTCCTTGCATAAACAAATGCCTTTTGTCTTATTTATATTTTAATACACCACACCTTTCAGTATTTGTTGGCTAGATAAATGAATAAACTCTCCTCAATTTTCCTTCTATTTTTATTCCTTTGCCTTAACTGCTCTTATCTGTGTGATGGCTAATTATATGTATCAAATTGACTGGGCTATGGGATGTGCAGCTGTTTGATCAAATATTATTGAATATTTCAGTGAGGGTGTTTTGAATGAATGTAATCTCTAAGTCAATTGACAGAGTAAACCAAATTATTCTTCCCTAAAGTGAATGGACCTCGTTCAATCAATCGAAGACCTGAACAGAAGACTGACTTTCTATAAATAAGAGGGAATTCTAGCTGCCTAACTGCTTTCAAACTGCGACATTAGAAACGCAGTAAGAAGTGAATCAGATTCATAGATAATAAAATAAATATTTACCACCTGCCATTTTGAGCAATTTTATATATTTAATTTTGAATTTTATTTCTATCTCTCTCTGAAAATGACCATGATACAGAAGGTCATCAATAAACAATGATGAAAACCAAGAGGTATCAACATATTGTGAACTGGCAGGTTAGTTTTAGTTTTAGGGGAGAGGAATTAGTAATACTTACACTGCCAACTAGTTCATGCATCTGTCAGAATTTTAAAAAAATTATATTTCAAAAACAATGTTTTAAAGAGTTGTTAAATTATTTGAATAGCCTACAAATTAAAAAAAATCTACCATGTAGATAAATTTTCTAGAGAACTGAATTTTGCAGAAGTTACTAAGCAAAGGAGGGAGGAATATGGGAAGATTAAGGATCCCTGCCTTTTTTCTTGACCCATGGTGAGTCTGGCTTATGTTCCATAAATAAATATCTGTTGAAATCTTATCTTACCACCTGACAGAATTCTTTATACCTGCTTCCACTCTTGAATTGTGTCTGACATAGAGATTCAGATAAGTTTATCGACAAAAAATTCTAAGATTAGCTCAAGTGCTAGCTTCTTGAGTGAGTGTTGAGAAAACAATCCTTTACACTATATCGTTATTTATTATTATTTTGTTTCTGTTTGTTTTGTTTTGTTTTCTGGAAATACCATTATGAATAAGTACTGTGGTAAATCTTATTAAAGTCTTGTTTTAAGTACTTAGAAGCTGGGTGTGTATTCTAATGTACACCAGGGAATCTTTTATCTGTTTTTTCTTTGGGTCCTTTCACTGTTCCTGTAAAAAGTTCTGACTAAAATGACTTTCTTTTGGAAATATACAAAGACATTTTTTAGTTTTAGTTTCCAGCAGTTAGTAGATCATCCAAATAACTCTGATGTAAACTTTCTGCATGTTCTTCTCAATATTATTTTTCACCAACAGTGATTCTTCAAGTATTTAAAGTTCTGATTCTGAGAAAAAAGTAATCTATGAGGTTACTTATCATGGATAATAAAATATCTTATATGTCATATGAAAGTCTTTTGGACTCTCTTGAAAACGTTTTTAATTCTCTCCTTAATGCTTGAGGAAGAGTCTATCCGTAATATCTTCCATCTTTCCTAGCTACCTGCGTTCGTTGGAGAAACATAGGCTTCTCAATTTCTTGCCTGACATCTGTCCATGTATCTCTGGGGAAGAGACCAGAAAACTATGCCAGTTGCTATTCTGTAGGGAGACCTGAGTTTTCCCAAAGGCTTTTACTGGGTTGAACCAGGTTGATAGATCAATGACATAAGTGGGGTTCCTACAATTTAACTTTGTAGTCTTGTACATGCAGGACTTTTTCTCCCTGAAGTAATTTTAATTACTCATAAAGCTCTGTTGCTTATACTCAGTTCATGAAGCATTAGTTGAAAAGATATAAGCAGACCACAAATATCATGACAAAAGTATAAAACAACTTTTTTTTAATGATAAGAGTTTCCTAAAAAAAAAAGTTTCATCACAACCAAGAAGCAGGAATGATAGTCTATGTTAGTTCCTGAGAGATTTGAACATCTCCATCCATCACTCAGGGACAATAGGGCTTATCAGCTCAGCTCTTGGATGACAACTTTTCCTTTATTTAGCTTTTGTATAAAAATATAATTAATAGTGAAATTAATAATATTTTAATAGTCCAAGCTGAGCTGAGAATTCATCCGTTAGAGACTTTTGAAGAAATTCTTGCCTTTATTAGATTAGATGTCATCAACTTTCATGGTTTCTTTCAATCCTTAATTCTCCATAAGAGAATAAACATATGTCCATAAATATACACATGCATACTTATATACACACATGTGAATGGCAAAGTTGGTCCACATAACTTTGGTATTCTAATTGATTGAACTGCCAAGAAGTAGCAATTCATGAAAACATTCTGTCTGTCAAAGATCAGTCTCTGGTAGGGCCTAATAATCTGCTTAAAATCTGACATAACACTTTAAAATTTAAATTTATACACATCTATAGTTATATTCTTTTTATATTAAGAGAAAATATATTTAAGGGAAAATTTCTCTGTGCACATGCCAGGATAATTTACAATTTGTTTTGCTAGTAACTGGAAGCCAAACCCTGTATGATAGCTTTGTGCCCCAATGTTAAAAATTAGAATGAGGTCAGTTTTAGTGAATAGAGGTCCACACCAACAATTGCTGTTTTTGTTGGTTCCTCAGTTACCAAGTCTAAGAATAGAAAAAAAAAAAAAAAAAAAACCAAACTGGCAACACAACAGAACTATCTTTTATTGCCATCTTTCCCTTCAGCATTTACTTTAGGCATGTGTTCAGTGGAGGAAGATGAAGGGTGTTTCTTTTTACTTTCTCACAGTAAAGAAGCTTAGTTTTATTAAGCATTATTGGAAAATATACTGGAGATAGCATATTTAAAATTAATTTGAAAGTTAAAGTGTTTTTAGTGTCTTTTAATATGAGCAAAAATTGATTTTATTAAAATGCTTTCAGATATCATAATATAATGACTTATTTATCACTCTAAGTCTCTATCATACTATAACTTCCTTTGCAAGTATATTGATTTTTTTTTTATGTCTTTTGAAAATTGAGAACCAACACAGTTCTTCTTTGCCATCCTCCTTAAATAGAACAAGGCCCAACATGCCAACAGAGATTATTTCAAAACAGCAGAATTTTTTTTCCAAAGGGATAAGATCAGGCAATTAGAATGGTTTTCTAAACAACAGAGGACAAGGCTTGTTTTTCTAAGCAGTGTTTTGCTGATTTGAAACACGAAATGTCAAATCTTTATAAACACGAGTCATTGAAATGTCTGAAATATTGAAGTGGATTTTTCTTATTAGACTTTGTATAACAAAGGATGTTCTTCATTCCTTGTTCAGACACACACACACACACACAAAACTTCTTAAAAGATTATATTTCTCTTTAGATTTAGAACCCAAATATAAATGACTAAGTATTTAAAGCACTTTTAGTGAGAAATTTCAAAGTTAAATCCAGTAAACATGGAGCAAAAACTTACTGTTTCTTGTTCATATTTTTCGCAAGAACTTTATTAGACTCCAAGGTATTTAATCAAACTCAGAATAAATGTATCTGCAAAATAAATTTTAATTTCTTTGGCTATTTAGCTCTGAATAGTACAGCATAGTAAATGTATAGCACTAATTACAGGTATTTTTCCTAGCTTGTGATATGAGGTATCTTACAGGTTGGTGTATTTCCTTATACTCAAAATTACTTGACTTCAAACAAGGAACTCTTTTTTTTTTTTCCCCCAGAGCATCCCTGCAATCTACAGACTATCACCTGGGAATGGGAATTTATGCTGATTGTCAGTTATGCAGCCTGGTTATTATCCATGGAATAAAAAGGCAACATGAGACAGTGATCTTGCTACTAGGATCTGGCTTTTATACAGCTACACTTGCATCTTTGATAGTGAGTGGGAAAAACTATGCAGAGTGTAAGTCAAAATCCTTAGAAGACCCAACATATTTGTGGTTAGTGGGTAGAGGAACCAATGCTACTGTTTTGAACAACCCCCTGTGACCTAGGGAACATGGCTTTAAGTTTAAATATTTAATAACTCTATAATTTGGGCTATTAGTAAACTCCTTTGGGCTTCATATGTCAAATGAATGTTGTTAGAGGTTTTAGTGAATGTGTGTGTGTATACATACATATACATATTTAGTTATATATATATATATTTATGTATATGATATGTATTACCTTAAGATATATTGATATGCATTTACTTAAAGTTTTATGTCTTTATCTATATAAGATATATGATGTTCATTTAAGATATAGAAGTATACATGTACACTTATGATTTTATAGAGAGCCGTTCTTGAAGATTGTGCTACTTAAACATTAGTATTATACTGCTTATCATTTCTATATTTAAACTACCAAAGACTACTAGAAGAATACTAAAAGTGATTGATCCCATGGTTCTTTCCTTTGTCTGCTTTTTCATGAATGGCTCAAAGTTGCAGCACAATGTCACCTTTTAAAGTTGAATTAAACATGCAACAAGAAGCCCCCAAGCAAGGTGCTGAGTTAATAGTATAAGCACTTCCTTATACAGGTGAATAGGATCATGCCCCTTTTGAAGGAACTGCTAATGGGCTTTTTTTTTTTTTAATGGTAATAAATCAATATGCCAGGGACCAACCTGATGAAAGGCCACCTAACAAACTCTTTCAGCTTTGCAAATAAGCAAAACCACATGCAAATCAAAACAATAGAGGATGAGAGTGAACTGTATAAGAACTGAGTGGGGTCAGTGTGTGGGGTCAGTGCCCTTTCTGCAGTGTCCACAGCAAACACCTGACAGATACTGGGTGCTCAATAACTATTGCTTGAATAAAGGCAACCTTGACCTTTCCTTTAAACAGGATTAACAGTAAAAACAAAACAAATAATTGCAGACTTTCCTATTTCCTGATAGATTTCTGGCCTAAGAGAGCTGCTAAGTTGGTTAGCAGGGAGGAAGAACAATTAGTGAAGGGCACAAGTGCAAACATGTGCATTGAGGAAGCCTATCAGAGGTTTCCCGGGTTGAGTGGGCTGAGTGCTCCCAGGAATGTGTGGATTGGAGGGGTGCTGCACCCTTCAGGTTCATAGACATAAGCACAATTAAATTGCAGTTATTTTACTCAGCACCGGCTTGCCTTTAGTGTCCATTCTCACATATTTTTTTTCACTTTAGGGTTTTCACAAACCTTTCACCTATGACCAAGTATATAAAGTACCACTTTTCTTAAGTAAAATTAAATATTTAGCTTACTTTTAAGACTCTATTCAGCTTTGCCTAAAATAATCAGCTTGACATGCTCTATGTCACAGCTGAGATTGATGAGGAGTTATAATTTAGTTCATAACCTCAGATAGTGGATTCAAATACAATTATTCTTTGAAATATGTCTGACTTAAATTTAAATACATATTCAGTTTTGCTGCCATCATAAATACTTTTTGAAAACAGAGGTCCCTTTTCACACTAATAATTTGAATAGGAAGGCTATTCATTTGTACACATTGTAAGTTTTCCTAATTATATTTGTAATGAAAACTGAGAAGGTTATTAGTCATCCTTGGCTGAGACACTCAATAATACTTGTCTTGTCCAACTACAATAAAAACAGTTACAATCTTAGTGTACATTAAGAATTGACTAGGCATGATTTCTTAAAATCATGAAAGAAAAATGTTTACAAGCGAGGCCTATGGTAGAAATAAGATGAAAACACTTATCTATATTCACAGAAGACGATTAGGCCTAATACAATTAGGTGAACATTCAGGTTCATTTTATTCCAAAGAATAGTCTCTAATCTTGAAGCTTCGTGTCTACAGGGTCCATAGGATTAGAAGACTATTGGGGGGGGAGGGGGTCTAATTTTGCTTGGCCCTGGACATATATGTTAAACATTTTACATTATTGCACAGTAACAATAATTTACAGCCATATATATCACAGGATCTGATCAATGTTAACACATTTGGCATTTAAGGCTAACCTATATTGGAAAGCAACCATTTCCAGGAGATCAACTATCTTAACACAGTGTCACCTGTCTGAGTTGCTAAAAAAATTTTCTTACTTAAAAATTAATTCATAGGATATGTGTTCACATGTGTGCTAAATGGAGGCACTTTAAGAGCTATTAACTGTAGATTCAGGAGCACAGAGTTTTAGCAGTCATTCATAAATATGACAAAGAATTTAAATGTAATTGAATTAAAAGGAAAGTAAATCATTAAATAAGAAAAAATTGCCAAATTCTGTAAAAAACAAAACAATCCACTGATGTCTGATTTTTAAGAACTTCCGCATTAAAGCAAAAAGGACAGGGAAAGATGAACAGTTACCATACTACACCCAAACAAGTGAATACTACAGTTTTCCGATGTTAGATGTTAAGGTATAATGGTTTTGGCGGTTGGACTAGTAAGGGTTTCTAAACAGATGAGTTAAATACTTTGAATTACGTTTCGTGTTACACTTCAAAGTATTATGCATAGGTTCCAAATAGAGAAACTTAAATGTCGAATAAAACATTTTGGAAGAGTTTAGTAAAACGTATAAAAAGTAAAAGCCTAAAAAACCCCACTCCATTTAAAACGTGTAAAAATAAACTGCAATCATTCGTGGAAATCCAGTGACTTTTCTCTTTCTTTTTTTGGGGGTGGGGTGGGGTGGGGTGGTGGTTAGTTAGTTGGTACGTACTGAACCCGCCACAAAGCGTTGGAAAGTAGGTCCTGGTACAAGCTAAGGAATATCCAACCCGGTAGGTACATCAGCGTGATGAGGCCCATGAAATTGAGCGGGTAGTGGGAATAATCCCAGGAGCAGGCGCCACAGGCTCGGAGTCCGAGCCCCCAGGACAACTCCCAAGTGTAGATGAAGACCACGTAGATGGGCACCCGCTTCCAGGTGCCCCAGCCGCGACTGTAGTGGAGGTGGAAGTAGAGCTTTTCTACAACGAAACTGCAGCTGCCGTACATAAGGAAGGACCACAGGGACGTGTGGCCGCTGGTTGCTCCGTCTCCCTGCCCCAGCACGTTAAAGAAGAAGGTGAAGAAGATCTCATCCAAAAAGCCGTGCATTCCAAAGAAAACAAAGCGGAGCAGGTCCGGCAGTCCGTGGTTGGGGGCGCCCCTGGCGCGCCTAGTGCCAGGGGGTCTTCCTGTTTGGCCACTGACCATCGCTGGGGTCCCCGCCCCCGGAGGGGCTGGAGGCGCGTCCAGCGGCTGCGGCTGCCGGTACCGCAAGCACACGAAGCGCTTGAGGAACACTTGGCAGTGGTAGAGCGCCAGCAAGTACTGCAGCACCAGGTCCAGAGCCCCCGGCGCCGCCGTGTCGCCCGGCCGGCCGGCCACGCTCAACAGCAGCGCCTGGCTCACCAGGGTCTGCAGCCCCACGTGGGCCGAGGGGTAGAGGAGGAAATTGAAGAGGAAGGCGCTGGGGCAGCTCCGCTGGTGCAGGTAGACCTTCTCCAGGGCGAAGTGGGTGAGCGAGTGCAGGAGGCAGCGGTAGGGAGAGGAGAAGCCCAGCATCCGGAGGTCGGGGCTGCTAGCGAAGCGCCGCGCCGAGGACAAGAGCACGTCCAGGGTGATCCCGTGCATCCCGTAGAAATAGAGGCGCATCCAGGCGGGCAGCTCGGCGCCCCCGGCCGGCGCGTCAGCAGTGGACAGCGGCTCGG